CGTGCCCGTGCCAGACGACGCCGACTCGCGGGTCGGACTTGCAGTTCGATTGATCCTCGCAGGCCGGTTTCCCATGGATTGGGAATCATCGCCAGTATGCTCATCAATGGATCGGCCGCCACCCGGTTGAGGTTATCTTGAAATTCGTCGTACTGTCGAATCGAGAACACCTCGGGCGTGAGCCGGAGTGATATAGCCCACGTCTGGTAGCCATCAGGGCATTCGAATGCCGTCTCATCGATGGGTTCGATGCGGCACTCGGGATAACAGCCGAGGACTTGTTTCTCGAAGAGGTTCTTCAGCGGAGGCGGGTAACGGCAGTGGAGGCCGACTTTACCGCCGTGCTGTCCCAGAATTAGCGTGAAAGGAAGACGGGATTGATTCGCCTGGTGGATCGCGGCGAATGCCTGCTCCATATAGAGCGGTCCGCGATCATTTGCCGGAGGGGCTGACAAACGAACAAGCACGCTGACAGCGTACCAGTATTTCACCCGCCGTTGGAAGGTGTCCGTTTCCGCGGGCGGGGCTTGTCGTGCCTCTCCCTATCGAGAAGTCCCAAACCGGTAAAACGATGAAAGTCAGATCGTCACAATCCTTCCCTCATCGTAAAAGCCCGAGGGCAGTGTGACGCCGGAGAGGGATGTCCGGCCGATCCCGAACACGTCTCTGAGGCGGGATAGCTACCGACAAGACAATGACGGTATCACACGGGGACTGCTTGCCGCAACAAAGCCGCTTCAACCGGTCTGCTGGTGGCGGTCGGATGCACGTACGGTCGTGGTCGACCGCGATGGTCGACGAACACCGGTGCGGTGGCCGACGGCACGCCCGCCAGATTGTCGAGGGTGCTTCCATAAAAGAGCGTTTGCTGTGGGTTTCTCATCACACGAGCAGCCGTTTGCATGATGTGATCGAGACGAGCTTCTGAGTTACTGGCAACGATAAACAACACGCGAAATCGCGAGCCGACTCGGTCCTGATAACGATCGTAGAAGCGAAGTTTCCCTTCGAGCGATTCAACGGCTTTCGATGTGCGTACCCGCTCTGTCCCCATGTCGATCTCAGTGAAGAACGGATAGCTCGCTCCATCTCCCGCCAGCAGCGTAAAGCTGCTATCGGGGTACCGCACTTCGCCTTCGAGCGAGAGACGCAGTGTGTTCTCCGCAGCGAACTGAATCACGCGGAGACCTGAACGATGGGCAGCCACAAATGTGTGTACGGTGAATTCCGCCAATGCCTGCGTGTGCGACTGTCGAGATATCGCAATCGGTGAGAAATAGCCTTTGGTGGGCGCGGTGGCCTCGGGTCCGTGCAGTAATTGATAGCCGCTGCGGGAAAGCCGATAATAGTTCTGCGGTTGGCCGGGATAAACGGCCGCATAGCGATACGTGTGTACCAGTCCCGACGCCGTCAGCCGCTGGAGCGTTTCTTGTGTCATGCGATGCGAGCCGAACGGTGTGGGCCAAGTGGTGCTGAGCCGTTTGAGCTGTCGCGCGGTCAGGGGTGAGCAATCCAGTGCGGTGAGGATCTCCGTATCCCGGGAGCCAAGCCGCGGCTGAAAGAGATTGCTTGCCATGGATCGAACACAATCGTATCATCACTCCCCTTCTCCCGCTTCCAATCCAGCTTGATGCCAGAGCGAAAACGATCGTTCATCAACGTCGACGAACTGATGCCGCAGGTGAGCCTGGAACAAGCGGCGTCTTTCTATGGTGTGGCACTACCCGAACTGCACCGCACCGGTAAGGAGACCCGTGCGCGCTGTTTTCTGGCGTGTAACCGCACGGAGGAAACGGGTGACCGGGCTCTGGCGATCCAGGAAAACGATCCGGCCAAGAAGTGGCGTTGCCACCAATATGGGTGCGGCAAAGGCGGTAATCTGATCGGCCTGTGTGACCTGATGAAACCAGGAGCAAACGGCAACGGTCGCCCGCGGGGCGGGCGCTTCAAGGAGATCGCGGCTGACTTGCAGGCGATGGCTTCCGGTGAAACTAGTGTTCAGGCCAGGGCACCAACCGAAGAGAATTCACCACAAAAGTCAGAATCGACCCCGAAGGTAAATCCCCCACTCGCCGAGTCTGCCAACGAGCGAGCACGCGAACTCGTCACACTCCATGAGCAACTCATCACCGACGCGGCAGAGATGCCACCGGCAGCCAGCCGCTACTTTCGGAGTCGACCGTTTCTCACTCCGGAGGTGTGCCGAAGGTGGCGGATGGGGTACCTTCCGCAAGACGCCAAGACCATGTTGCGTGGCAAGATCGTCTACGCCTACGACTCTCCAACCGGGGAGATCCTCACCTACTTCGGCCGCGATCCCAAGTACGAAGAGCGACACCAACGATGGATTGCTGGTGGGAAAGAGGATCGCGAACCGATCAAAACTCAGTTCGTGAAAGGCTTTCAACGTGGGATTGAATTGTACGGGGAACAGGCCGTACTCCAATCAAACGAGGTGGACCCCGAGAAGAAGCGAAACTTGGTGATCGTGGAGGGCCCGAACGACGCTATCCGACTACACACACTCGGCGTACCTGCGGTGGCATTGTGTTCGAACACCATCACGCGAGAGCAAGCAGTCAAGGCAGCACAACTCGCATCGGCCATGCCTGGCGGGAGCGGTGTGATCGTGTTGCTACTCGACTGCGATGAAGAGGGTGTGAACGGAATGGAGCAAGTCTTGCCCTTGCTGGCAGTACATGCACCGGTCCGTCTGGGCTGGAACCGAACAACGCACGACGGACGGTACTGGGGTCGCCAGCCCGAGTCGCTCAGACTGGAAGACTGGCAGCATATCCAAGCTGACCAATGACTGAAATTCGCCAGGGCGTAACCGCGGCTGTTCGCCGCGGTGGGGTTCCGCTCTGCGACGTATCCCGGCTGTGCAGCCGGGTGGAGTGCGGCACGCTGCGAGGGTGTTATGGACAGCATTTGAAAGTGGAGGCCGCGAAGGGACACCGAACTCCACACGTGAGTCAGGATCCGCAAGCCCCCGAGACCCCGATCGAAGCCGCCACCGTCGAGCCACTTGCGAGCAGGCGTGTCGCAGAGCGGGGTCTCGGGGCGATCTCGTCCCCCGAGCGGCGTGCCCTCCTAGAGCGGAGTTGCGCTTCGCAGAGCCGTCGTCCAGTCGGCCTCCGGCCGCCGACGCACCCGCGAGCAGAGCCGCCCGTGGTGGCGGCTTGATGGCGGTGGTGTTGGCGGGATTGTTCAACGCATGATTCTTAGCCCTTACAGCTTCCGCACAATCTCCTCGACCTTCGATTGAATGCTTCGCAACCAAGCGATCTCTTCATCCCGAAATACCTTAATCCCATTTTCGAACGGCATTTCTCCCTCTCGCATCGCACGCCAGTAGTTTGCCTTCACACCAAAGTATCGTACTTCAGGCGGGTCACCTGGAGGGAAATCTCGCCTGTGATCGTCAGGATGGGGTGCCGGTTTGGGAGGAATATAAACATCCAATGCACCTGGACCTCGAAGGAGGCGATGCTGTTCGAATCTAGTATCATGACGGGGCATTGTAGTTGCCTCATGAAGTAGTCTGCAGGTTGAGTTGGTGAAGTGGGTAGGAGGACGAATTTTTCTACCAACGTCTGCAGAATTCTAGGCAAGCGATCAGCGAAAGACCATTTTCTCTTTTGCGAAGCGAAGGTCGATGTGACCGGTTGGTCCCTGACGATTCTTGCGAACGTACACAGTCGTCTCATCCGGGTTGTCACACGCATCGTCATAGTAGCCTTCGCGGTACAGCATGAGCACGCTATCGGCATCCTGTTCAATCGAACCAGAGTCACGTAAGTCGGACAGCACCGGAATCGGCGGACTGCGTTGCTCACATGCTCTGGACAGTTGGGAGAGGGCGATCACTGGACAGTGCAGTTCCCGCGCCAAGTTTTTGAGACTCTTGGAAATGTAAGTGATCCGCTGGGTCTGATTCTCGCCCGCGGCACGGTCGGTGACTTCGATCAATTGCAGGTAGTCGACGATGAGGAGATCGAGGCCATGCTCGAATTGATGGCGACGGGCCTTGCTTCGGATATTTGCCAGGGTCGCGTTCGAGTCGTCGTCGATGAAGATTCTCCGTTCTTGCAGTGCATCGAAGACCTGCCCCATCTTTCCAAATTGCTCCTCCGTCAAAAGCCCCCGCTTGAGTTGTGAGGCATCGACGCCCAGCAGACTCCCAAGAATGCGGTCCGTCACGTCCTCTTTGGTCATCTCCAGAGAAAAGAACGTCACGGTTTTCCCTTGCTGTTCCGCCACATGGCGGGCGATGTTCAGCGCCAGCGCCGTCTTCCCCATGCTCGGACGACCGGCGAGGATCATCAAGTGCCCGGGGGAGAGGCCAAGCAGTAGTTCATCGAGCTTCGAAAACCCGGTGCGGATGCCCATGTGGGCCGTCACGTCGTCCGCCTCGTGTAGTGTCGCATAATGCTCGTACCGCTCCGGCGCGATCGCAACCAAGTCGATGGGTTTGGCCTGTGTGGACTGTCGTGAGAGTTGAAGCAGTTGTCGCTCGGCCGTTTCTAGCATTTCGCTAGTCGAATTGCCGTCGTGTGCCGCCAGACCGGTGATCGTGGCCCCGACCTTGGCCAGTCTTCGCCGCAGGCTTTTTTCTCGCACGATCTCGGCATAGTGCATAACATTGGCCGCCGTGGGGATCTGCTGGACCAATTCGGCTAAGAATGCCGAACCACCTGGAAGATCTGTCTTCGATTGCCCGTGAATCGATTCATAGACGGTGACAATGTCGATGGGCTGGCGCTGCTCGTGCAATGAGAGGATCGCACGATAGATGGCAGCGTGGGTCGGGTCATAGAAATCATCCGCACTCAGCAGCGGCGCGACATCCATCATCTTCTCACCGTCGAGTAAGATCGCGGCGATGGTACTGGCTTCGGCCTCGATGCTGTACGGCATGGCCGGTGCGTGTGTCTGCGGGGGCATAGGAATGGAGGGAGTGGGGGGGGACGAAGTGATATGAGTAAGAAAAGAGTGCCTTACATACTCTCCCCTTTTGATAACTTATGATGGCGAGCCATGATGTCCAGGGCCATATTGGAAGGATTGGTGATATCCTGGGAGCGTGCGAGTCGTCGTCGATCGAAGCTGCTAGCAGCGGCATCAATCGACTTTTCGAGGTAGCCTTGCTGTTGCTCCTCTTTGAGACCGGCCCAATGTTCGAGCAATCGTTGTCGACGCTTCTGCCTTAGATCCTTCTGGTTCGCAGAATCGCCATCTTTCGCGCCCACTTCCTCCCGCTGCTGTTCTTTTTGGGCACTGACTTTTTCTCGCCGCCGTGCATCAGCGATCGCTTTCTCGAAGTACGGTACCGCAGCACCAAAGAACACATCCTGATCCTGAAACGTCTGTTTGACGGTCTTCGCAACGGCCGGCAGGAGTTGCACGAGAGTATCCATTCGATGGGCCACCAGGAGAGTCGCAGCATGGTCGACTTCGCGCTGCTGGGGTGCGTAGGTTTCCTTGTCAAAGCGTTGGCGATGGTAAAGGCACACTAACCGCTCTGCTTCGGAAGCTGCAGAATCCCCCGTTGTTTTCTGTGGAGTCTCAGCCGGCGATACCTGCTTCTTGGTTCGCAGCTGGTCCGGGTGCAACTCGAAGTGCACCCGCCAGATCCCGGGGCGGATTTTTTTGTAACGCACACTGGATGCAGTGGGACGAACGTAGTTGCGAGCCTCCAGCTCTTTGACCAATTGGTCAAAGTTCCGTTTGAGATCCTTCGAGTCGGTCATGCCAAGATGTCCACAGGCCAGCTCTTTGAGATCCCGAGCGTATGGCTTCGGCTTTCGGCCCCCATGCCAGACCTTGTTCAGGTGTCGCAGAAGATCCTTGGCGGCGGGTCGTTTGCAGGAAAAGTAAAGGTCCAAATCAAGGTCGATCAGACTCCCCTCTTGTAAGCTTGTGTATACATGCCGTGTCCACTGGACGTAGCTTTCCGGCGTAGCATCCGAGGCACGACGCCCCTTACGAAACACGACCTTGACTTCGGCCAAGATTCCGGTGATGAGACAAGCCTCGACCGTCCGGGTTCGGCGACTGTACCAGGCACTCTCATACGTCGCTGTCAGCGCTTTGAGACGCTTCAATGATGTCTTAAGTCGCAGCAGGCTCTTCTGATTTCTGGGCCAGCCCATGACTTGAAGGAGTTGCCATGGGACGAACCGCACGATGTCGGAAGCGAAGCCTTGTTCCTTGGCCAAGAACAGCAGGGCGATCAGCACATCCTTGTCCCCAGCCGTGGGCAGTCCCACACGGGACGGACTTTCCAGGGTCACTTTCTGACGCGTGCCGTCTTCGCGCTCGATACTGAACGCGGCGTAGTCTCGCTGTTCCCCGGATTCCTGCGTTCGCTGTTGGTACGTCGCCACGCCGATCGGCCAGTCGGCGAGTGTGAGATGGTCCTTGCCAAGCTTCGTGCGAGCTGCGTTTCGCCTTGCCGCTGATGGTGCGGCTGTCGTCATGCGAAATAAAACAATGTAGATGATGCACACCCACGGCGACGCCAGTCGCCTGTTTGTGTGTTGTTGTTTATTGACGACAGATGTTTATGTCTCTCTATAAGGGAATTCGCGTAAGAGATCAGTTTCAACTTCGCGTAGCAGGTCAGAATGTGGGTAGTGATTCTTCGCGTAAGGGATCGGTTTGCATACTGACCTCTTACGCGAATATTTGGAGCTTCAATGTGATGAAGTGGGTAACGGAAGGTGCCGATGGGAAGGCAACGTTTCGACATGCTTAGCGGGAGAAGATGCGAGACCAGAGACTGCTCGATTTCTCTGGTGTAGAGGAAGACTTTTTTGCGGGTGTTTTCTTTCGAGAATCGGCAGACTTTTTGGGTGCCTTTTTGCGTGACTTGCGATTGCCGGATTTCTTGGAGTTTGCTTTCTTCTGTTTGCGGTCACCCTCCTTTTTGGTTTTGGTCGTCGGCGACTCTTGGTCTACTTCGATTTCCGTTACGGTCGAGCGTGGTTGCGATGGAGTCGAGGATGCTGCCGGCGTGTCGGAAGTCGTCGCGCGGGGCGAATGAGTCGAAGGCATTGGGAGCAGCCGTTGTTGCATATCGGCCATCAACGTATGTAAGTCGCGGACAAGGGCGTTCGTTTCCTTTTCGCGTTCGACACGATCGGCGATTTGCTGATTCTTGATCTTCATCTCATCGCGCAGATCTTGTTTGTCTTGTTCGAGTCCGCGAATACGTTCACGCAGAACGTGGACCAATTCGGGGCGAGCCGAAGGCTCACTCCCCTCCTCCATGCTCGAAGCGACATGATCTGATCCAGGTCGCTGCTGTCGAACATGGCCTCGGCGACCGTATTGTTTTTCCAACCAGGACGTCCGGAAATACCAGACGGGATTCTTGCCATCGAGACAGAGTTGATCGATAAGTTCGGGTGTCATTCCCAACCCGTCGATCACCTCCCCTTCTTCGGTCCGCAATCGACAATGATCCAGGACCTTGGCATTCTGAACTTTCATCGCGTCAGCAATGTCACGAGTCAGCTGACGGTGCGACCGCGCAAATTTCTCAGACGCTTCTTTCTTGGTGATGAAGCCGGGGACGGGAGTCGTTGGCATGGGCCAAGGGGGTGACAAGAAAAGGTTGGCTTAAGCCTAAACCTGCACGTGAATTACTGTCAACGATTTGTCGTACCCCGTTGGCGTACGTCAGTCGTGCCCTTGTGTCCTAGGGGGTGTGCCAAGGAGCTTTTCGATTCTGTGATTGCGCTCATGAAGATGATCGCCACACCCTTGACCTACGACAAGGTGCACATGGCTTACGTCGTGGCGTATGACAGACGTACGTCATGCCCTGGGGGTAGGACATTAAATGGGGGATTTGCGTGTCGTACGTCACACGCGATCGCACATGTCGTAGGGCCGAGCCAGCGGGCGAAAAACCGCGTGATTCAGCGGAAGCAGATGACGTGGCGAGAGGTGAGTGGGATGGTTGTGTCGTACGTCTCAGTGAAACCTGGCCTATGTCAGAAAGAATCTGGAAAGTGCTGTCGTACGTCATGCGAATGATGAGACCTAGGTCACTGGGTGCCGGCGACATACCACCAATCGTCCAGGGTGGGGAAGTTGCGGCAACCGTGATTGACACTCGAATCTTGAGAAGGCATTCTTCGCTTGTGAGTGAATTGCCGAAACTGAAAGCACAGGAAATTCCGTTCGATCACCCGGATAGCTGCAACATGTTTCAGCCGGGTCCGGATAAGCCATTCGTTGCGACACCTGACGCGATCGCAATGTATCAACACGAGACGATTCTTGCGTGTCTTCTCGTTTTGCAAGCGAAGGCGCGAGAGGAAAGTGGCATCGACTATCTGCAAGTATTCGACGGTGCACCGATAGGGAAGTCGGAAGACCTGTGGTACATCGAGGACGGCCCAGGGGGTGCAATTACCGCGCTCTTGCCATCGAATTACTAGCTGCTGGTGGAAGAGAGTAAGCAGCTCAGCCGACCATGTCGTATTGTGACAAGGAAGAAATAGGGAATCGGGGAGGGAACTGAGTTACGTTCCCTCCCCGGGGATTTCCTTGCCTAGTCGTTTTTCTGAAACTGATCTAATCGTTACTGTCGAGCCTTCAAGCTCGGTGACAGATCCGATGGTTCCTACGTCGCTTTCGAAGGACCATCCCTACGCAGCCGGCAGCCATCACCATGAGCGTCCAAGTGGACGGTTCGGGAACAACGGTAAAGACGATGTCGTCGATGCCCCCTGAAGATGTGCCTGGGTTGGCGAGAAAGGCCACCTCGAGCGAGTGAACATCCATCGGGTTAAACCCAGGATCCTCGCTGGCCGTGGCGTCGCCGCCGGTGCCTTCCCCATCTTGAGGAGCGAGTGTATTGAGCATTAACGTGTCGTAGCCAACCGGAGACACCGTGACATCAAACGTCCACTTTTGTGGGACGTCGTACATTCGTTGGAGTCCATTTCCATCAGTCATGGTGACAATGACGTTGACGCCACCGTTGATATCGACCAGGACGATCGATTCCAACTCCACCGGGGACAAAAAAACAAGCACGAAACTGCCGTCGTCGTCAGCGCTCTTTTCGTCGTCCGGCACGTCGAAAAGCAAACCGTAGGTTGGGTCGATCGTGGTCGCAGGATTGTCGTCGTTTTGCAGAATCAGAATGTTGCCGCGATCGACAAGTAAGTCTGGGTCTCCGCCGCCTGCGTTCGGGCCGCTCGGGTCGCTGTCGAAGATTGCTGCACCTAAGTGACCGTCGGAGCCCAGTTGATTGGTGCTCACATTGAAGAGATTTCCGAACTCGAAGACCGTGTCGGTCGGCTGCTGGTCGACGAATGTGCTGATCGATTGCCCGTTGATGAGCGGCGTGGAAAAATCGTCTTCGGTTGACCAATCGATCGTGAAAGGTGCGGCGCCAACTCCCGCAGTACCTAGGCAACAAAATGTACCAAATAAACACAAAGCCCGTAGCAAACGAATCATTAGCGCTCCCCTGTAATTGATGGCCCGCGGGTGCGAACAACACGGTCCACTTGCAGAAGCCCCCGCTTGTGACATGTGTTGCTCGTAGCCCTCACACCTAGTGCAACACAACAAACCCGTCAAAGGAAAAACACCGAATTGAAGCGGGTTTCCTCAGAGAGGTAGGAGTCTTGCCACCAAGTGGGTGGCGAAGATCAATCGCACCATCCAACCGATTGGCCTGGGTCACTGACCAATTCCTTGCCCAAAGAGGGAAGTTGTTCCGAGATTGCGATCCGACTGATCGTCAGGATGATAAACGACTGATGAGCAAGCATGCCGCAAGTTTCAGGAAATGCCTACGGTGCAAAACCGTGCCATATTCACTTGCGTTGAGACTTTGAATGTTTCTGCTCCGCTTCAACACACATTCCTTGAGTTGATCATGGTTTGCAATTACAAGCATCATCACATGCGCTGAAGGTCGAGACAGTCTGCTTGCCTCTTCGAGAAAGCTCTGGCAATGTTCTTCCCCTTGCCAATTGGCAGGGAGACGCCTGAGCGTCTGTTCCTTCTCACTTGTCGTTGGCAAAAAAGAGGTGTCATGTGTTCCATAAGCGCAGACGCTGGGCGATTGCACACACAGACTCTGTTGAGCAGCTGGCTCTTAAACTGACCGAGCAAACGTGGACACTCTGTACCGGATTCCAGTTGGGCGGCTATCTATTTCTGAACGACTCCACGTCTGAAGATGCATTGCAGGAATACGCCGTCGTGAAACTACATGGTCCGCACGGCAACCCGATTCAGGTAGAAAGCTGCACCGTGAGTTGGTGCGACTATGCGAAGGCAGTCCGATACATCCTGGGCTACACGGCGGGCGAGTGCGATGGTAGCGACTTCGCTCACGAGGTTCCCATTTCCTGGGAATCGATTGAGCAGCACGGTCGTTGCCACCTCTGCGGCTGACGCTCAGACTGCCCCGTGGCGACACGGGGCCTATTCCTGCAGATGTTTTGGCAAAGACTGCGCTGCTTGACGACAGATCGACAGGTATGGCATCGTCATGCGCCTATGCCAAGTGACCAGCCAACCTGTGAGACATTGCAGAGTTTTCTGGCTCCGCAATTCCCAATCGATTTCGTCACACTGCAACCCGACGATGAAGCTTGGGCCGAGACGATCGAACGAATCAGAAGCCGCGATTCCGTTGCAGAAATTAGTGCAGTCACTTGGTACTATTTCCTGAAACTGCGCTCACCCAAGCTGCTTGAAGAAGATTGTTTCTGTTTTTTTGGAATGACAGGAACCGCTTCGCATCTTTGCTCGGAAGCAAGGCAAGCACTATGTTCGGCAGATTAGCGAAGCACAGAGCGAGTCTGCGAACTCAGTGGGGTCGCGAAGGAATACGGTTCGCACTAACCGCTTCGATGTCGAATGGAAACGATTCTAATCATCGATATGTTCAACTTGCTGGCCAATGAGAAGGCTGTGTTCCGGGCGATTGTTCCGTGGCAATTAGCGATGGCGATCGCCACCTACTTCGCCACCAAAAGGCCATGCTCTTGCTAGGAGAGGTACGGCTAAGTATTGCCAGTTGCTCATCGATCAGATCAAAGCTGCGTTGTATGTTGTATGCATTCGGCGCTTCAACGATAGCGTTTTTTTGAGGGCCGAGGAATGGATCTTTGCATCGGCACAAGACGTGAGGCCCTCAAACGACCGGCAGGAAAAAAACCTTGTGATTGTCCACGGCCCCCGCTACAACGCAGACGAACAGCCTATCCATCCCTTCAATGGGTTGTTCTTCTGTTGCGGTTCCCGTCGCCTCACACAGAGAGAAGCGGGAGCCGCAACTTGTTCGTCGCGAGCTTTGAGGTTACCAGCTCAACTCGCTGTGTGGATCTATCTTGTGCAATCGCACGCATCGCACCTGGCATTTACCCAATGTTGGCGCGCGTTCGCGCTAAGTTTCTTGCGTCGGCACCGCTGCCCCGATAGAACAAACTCTGGTATGCATGAGTTCAACGGCGATTTCACTGCCCCGATTTTTCCGTGGGCTCTTGCATCCAGTGTGGGCGGCTCCCAGATCGACGATATGGGGGTCGCCTTTTTTGGTGTGACAGTCTCAATGATTACTAGTTTTCCTTAGCGTGCCAGTGTGCGAGCACGCCCCTGCTTCATTTTCGAACCCAATTCAAGAAGCGTGGTCGGGACTGGGACTGTGGCTTACATCGGAGAATGACACCGAAGGAACTAACGTACGTCATCCAGGTCGATTCGACTCGCGAGTTGCCTGGCTCTTGGAACGTTGTCCTATTTCCTGAATGAGCCACTACTGTAAGCGATGACACCGCACCGGCGACCAAGGCGGCGATCAAAGAATAGCTGGAAGCACGTCTCATACATCACGTTGATGTCGACTACGGAGTCATCCGCCGTTTTTCTCGGATCAATGAGCGATAAGCTCTGGATGTAAGTCGATCGCTTTAGGCAAGCCGCAAAAGCATCGGGGTTGAATTCGTTAGACTTAGGCGATCCTACTTTCTCTCCAGCACACCTATGGACGCAAGTCGCCTTAGACTGGCGAGTTTGCTCACAACCGAAAGGGGAGTGGGCGGCATTCGATGAAAAATTATTGCGATTCGCAGCAAGTTCTGACAAGATACGCGCGGTTGTGACTCGTCAACGTGGACGCTTCGGTCGGTGGGTAATTCACATGAGGCGTCGGCTTGAGGCGATCAATGCTGAACTTAAACAGGCTTTGCTGTTTCTGTTGCACACGAACTGAATATCAAACCTGGGCGTTGGCAGACACGCTCCAAGCCGATCTTCTTAGCTCAACGGAAAGGACATATCGATGTCTCGGACAATATGTTACTACCTTGCACTCGTCTTACTCATGATTCTAGGGCTGTTTCTTACCTCATCAACGATAGTCGCCGCTTCGCAAAACAAGGTTTCTGCAAAGATTGAGTACAAGGTCGTACCGAGTTCGGAATTCGGAATAAATGTGCATGATGGTGAAGGTACATTCGGATACAGCAAAATGTCGGAGAAGCTAAATCAGTATGCGGCTGAAGGCTGGAGGTACCGGGATTTCATTAGAGCGGCGGATGGGGCATCCAGATTGT